AAAGAAAAAAAGATGTAAAGGGGGGGGGGGGGGGGGGGGGGTTGTTACCTAAACCAGGATCATAGTCTGTTCATAAGCAAACTCTAAATAATTTAGCATAATCAGTTAAGTAACCAAATATTATAACAGTATTTTACTGTGACACATTTAATTAAGTTCTGGACAATTTTCATTAATTTCTTACATGTCTCGTGCATTTTTGTGTTGTTCTGTTGAAACTTCATTGAGATTTTCTAAATGCAAGACCTAAGTAGCTAAAATGTATTTTAACGTAGTCCATCAGAAAGCTATTTCACATTATAACAGGGTTGGCAATCATATGACCTGCATGCTAGATCCAGCCTGCAAAACCACTGCATCTAGCCCACCAGTAGTCCAGTAGACTATTGTACTAGAATGGCACTTGGCTCTGCACTGCCCCATGTCCCTGACACTGCTGGCTACCACTAGCCAGAGCTCCACCAACATGGCTCTGTGCAGCTGCATGCCCCTAACTCCATACTGCTGCCCAGCAGCATAGACCTCTGATCGGTCGGCTGTGCCAGGGGTATTTGGCAGCATGGGTCTGGGGGTTTGGGGTGTCTGTGATGAACCAGGAGTATGCTGCAGCATGGAGCTCTAGCCAAATGTGGCTCCACACCACTGCATGCCCCCATCTCCATGCCACTGCCCAGCCAAAAGTCTTCACCACCTCACATCCCTGGCTTCTCACAGTTGCTTGCCACTGACTCTGCATTGCTTGAATGAAATGTGTAGCCACCCCCCGACCCACACTGCTGCCTGAATGTGGCAATATGGGTCTGACCTAGGAGGAGCCCCAGTGGTCTGGATCTAGACTGGGGCCCAGAATGAGTTTGATACCCATGTATTATAATAACATGCATTTTCACAAACTGTATTTGGGAAGTGGATTTTTCTGCAGAGCAAGTAGTTTGTTTCTAGGGCCCTGAATTGTGTCTTTGGACTGGACCTTGTATTTCTTTTGTAGCCCAAGAAATTATTAATAATGTATTTGTATTTTGAGAGCACTTTGATGCTCCATTATGCTAGGCCCCACACAAAGATAAATTCTTGTATAAGGAATTCATTATAAAATAAATAGTCTTAGCAAATAGTTAATTATTGACAAACAGCATAGAAGTAGATGTTAAGAGTACCCCACCTAGACAGTTGCTTTTATTTATCATTTCCTTTTTTAGTCCATTCTCCAAGGCTCTCACCCATTTCCCCTCCCAGGTGCACCCATCAATCTGTTCCACTACAGCTTACTCAAGTACCATCTCCTCCACCTCCTCACCCCACTCATTGCTGTCGTATGCTGGAGCCACTGTATGCCTGTGCCAAACCTTGAGCTGCCACATGTCCTATGCTGTGTGCTACAGCCACTGCCATGTCTTGTGGCAGCAGCACTGGAAACTGGGGTTTTGACACAGGACACACACTGGGAGCTGCCACCAGGCACCCCATGCCAGAGCTGAAGCTGCCACTGCTACCACATGTTGGACCCAGAGCTGCCACTACTGCATGCCCCAGGCTGAAATCACCCTGTGTCCTGGGCTAGATCCATCCCACAAGGAGAACTGTGATCTAGATCTTGCCCAGTATATGAGTTGAATTTGACACCTCTGCTTCAGCTGCATCTCATATCTCTCAAGTTGTGCCCTTGTCCCTTGCATGCCTCCTTACTGCTGCTGCCGCTGGATCCTACTGTGACTGCCTCCTGAGAGGCCACAGTTCAGCCTACCTTTGATGTGAGGACCAAGATTTAGCCCCAGTGGTAGGAAAGGTTGTTTCAGAGCTATATCTGGGAAAGTGAAGTGGGGAAGACCCTGCAAACATGCTGCCAAAATAACTTCTGTCCTGCTGCATATTCCATTTTTTTATGAAAGCTGTATTACCTATTTATGAGTGGGATATGGTGGATGGTATAATATCTAGTGTAAGTAAGTTGAATAAAAACATGTTAAGTAGAAGTTTAAAGTTGCAAAGTCAAATGAAGAAATGGAGAAACTCCGGGATCATTAATGCGTAATCATACTTATTACACAATCGCATACTCTTATTTTCCATGAGGCCTCTGAATTGTTCAGTGAATGAGTAGTTATTCAATAGTTCTTGTTATCATCCTTATTCAGTGTCTGGCCCTAGCACTTATTAAGCACACATCATCCAACTCTTACAGTGAATATAAAATTGGCATTTTTCTTTTGTCTGTTTCTGTGGCACTTATGTTTCAGTTGTTTAACAAATGTAATTATTTTCATAATACCTCTCTGATATTATGTAATATTGTTCCCATTTGAAATCTGAAGAAATGAGGCACAGAGAGATTAAGGTTGAAGTTGTCAGGAATACTAATTTTGTGTGCTCGTTTTGAGGCATCTGGGCCTAGATCTTATTCTAAAAAGATGCAGAGGCATTTACTTTCTATATGTAATCCTGTTCCACCCTGTATTGAGTTCTGACAATGTATATATAACAGAAAGTGCCCCATTCACCATTTGCACATTGTGGTGCAGAGAGACAGGTTTATCCTGAACAGTCTGGATCAGACAATCAGGGCTACCCTATTCACTGCTGTCATCTGTCTCCCGGCAGACTGAGGGAGCATTTCAAGCTCTCTGCTCTTCAAGGTCTTAGCATATCTGTTCAGATGTCACCAGATAAGTTTTTTCACCAAGAAAACAAATGTGGAATTTTTTTCCCCCAATGATTTGAATGTGTGTATGCATCCTCTATCACAAAAAATGGTGATGAAGAGGAAAACTCACTTATCCTGCTAATTAAAAGTTGTTCAGGGATTTGATCCGGGTTACTTAAATGCCCAGTAAATAGGCTGAATAGGATCTGGCCTCTAGGGTCTCACTTTTCAAAGTATTTATTATTCTTATAGCAGTTTATGCTCAAAGCACAGCTCCTAGTGATTTCAGTTGTAGTCGTAAGTGCTTAGCATGATCTGACCCCTAAACTTCACTGTAGGCATCTAGAAATTGAGGGGCACACAATTAATAGCAAACTATAAATATTTTTACTTAAATGACTGGCCCAGGGACATTGCATAAGGCCTTTGAGGAAGTGACCATGTTTAAATCAAGTTCTTCAAGATTGTATTCAAATTCTTTAACAATAAACCACACCTTTTTCTTTCTAAGATTCAGCGATTCGGACATAGACACAGTTTTAAATGCTGCTGCTCTAGGTAGCAGGCAGCTTGTGAATGCTGTGATGCTGGGGTGGATGAAGCATCCACAGAAGCATGGGAGCACCCCAGTGCACTCGCCAGCAGACCTGGAAGTGGATCAGAAGCACTTTCGGTTCACTTCTGGGTCTGCCAGAAAGTGTACCAGGGCCCCCCCCCCCCCCATGGCCCCCTGGATCAGTGACTGGTGCCTCCTGTGTCTGGGGGAGTCCCCCCATGGCCAATCACTGAGCCAGGGGGGTGTTGAGGGGCCCCCCTGTGTGCTCCCCAGTGGACCCTTCCAATCCACTTCCAGGTTCACCACTGAGCATGCAGGAGGCCCCCCTGCGCTCCTCTGGGATGCTCTATCTGCCTGAGCATCACAGCATTCACGAGCCATGTCTGGTACCTTGAAGTATGTAGAAAAAACATTTAAAGCTGTGTCTATGTCCGAATCACTGATTCTCTGAATCAGCATCGAATCTTCAGATTCAGATTCAGCCTAATTGAATTGGGGACAGTGATCCGAATCAACTAATCAAATCACTGTCCCCAATGTGGGCCAAATCTGAGTCAAATAGGGCCCATTTTGCACATCCCTACTACAGGCAATCACTTAATTCATTATATGACTGTGGTTCATCCCCAAATACTATTGATCCTGTGCAGTGAATGCAGGAGGAATTTCTAGAAAAAAATTATATCTGATCATGTAATTAGAAGTTTCCTCACAATGCAGATACACAAAGGCTGAGCTAAGATTACACAGACTGTTCTGACTTTAGACAAACTGCACCACATAAGATAGCAGTGACTGGCTGTTATTTTCTATATAGACTAGCCACTAAAGATATATGAGACATACTCCTTGCCATTAGGTTTAACAGACACTTGCAGACAACAGAGGAATGGTAAGGCATGAGAATGTTGAGTTTAGTCCTAGAGTTCTAGAGGAGAGCATACTGCAGTGAGTTATAAACCATTTCCTTCTTAATGAGCAACAGAGAATTTGAGGATGCTATAAATATTCATGTATTAATAAACACTGGCAATTTCAAAAACAGAAAAGTAAATTAAGCAGCAAAAAATAGTGGGGGGGGGAGGAAGGGAGAGGATATTTATAGCCTCTGATAATGAGGTTCTACAATGAACTTTCTACTCACAATTGTTCTACAGGCAACAAAATCATTTACTGTAATCTCGAAGTGGATGCAGAAAAGAAATAGTGTTCATTCCTTGTAACCACTTGAAAAAGTATCCCTTACATGCTCCTCTCTTAAGAAATAACACTTTCTAATTTAGTAAATCTTTTCTCACCAGGAGAGCTCTTAGTTAGATGCGCAATCTAGTTTATGTGAGACCCCCAAGGCAAAGGTGAGTAGACAGTGTACTCATACTGCTCATTTCCTCACACATCAATCATAGACAAACAGCACTATCTATACCAGCTTCACGCAAATATTGAAAAGAGTTCATATAACATTTATTTCTCTCCTTATTTCACATTTGTTGAATATGGCATCATACAAGATTGTTTCTTTTTTTTACACCAGTGGTTCTTGGCTTTCTATTACTCTCCTTTTATAAGTAGGGACCTACCAAATTCACACTTTTGCCACTTTCACAAAAACAACAAATTTGATAGTCCCCTGTGAAAAAGTCCGGTCCCTGGGAAAAAAACACGGGGACTGTGAAAAAGCAGGAAAATGG